AAGACTGCGAGTGAGGGCGCGTGAGTATGGGTTCTGGGGCATAGCCCGATAATTAATGTAGATCTTCTCGTTAGCTTTCCAACAAAAAAAAGTTTGCTCAAATCGGATCACCGAGTCAAAAGTTATGGCCAAAACAGTGCGGTGTCGCAGAAAATCTCTAATTTTGAGTTTTTGAGGAATTTCTTCGAAGATGAGGTGCTCGATGTTGAATGTCGACAGAAGGTGGATTTTAAACAAAATTCTAGAGATTGCCTCGAAGAATAATGGCGAAATCCACCTGCAAAACAAACCTCAGAATATCGAAATCTGCAGAATTTCAAAATGTTTGAACATCGAAAACTTTGGAGTTTCGAAAACCTCATAATCTCGAAAACTTGCTGTTTGAAAAACATCAGAACATCGAAAACTCATGAAACATATATAAGCAGGGAATCATTTAGAGATCCTTATAATGTAAAGCTTCGATGAACTGCAAAGGATGTCAAGATTCGAATTATGAGTTCCAAGAAACTGCAAACTTTGAAAGATTCAAAACATCGAGAAATTTTGAAAATCTCGAAATCTTCAGAATGTCGAGATCCAAAACATCGAGATCCCAAATGTCGAAATCCCAAAACTCGAAATTCCAAATCTCGAGATCACAAATCTCGAGATCTTGATTTCGAGATTCAAATCTCGAGATCTTGATCTCGAGATCACAAATCTCGAGATCTTGATTTCGAGATTCAAATCTCGAGATCTTGATCTCGAGATCACAAATCTCGAGATCTTGATTTCGAGATTCCAATCTCGAGATCAAGATGTCGAGATGCAAATCTCGAGATCAAGATTTCGAGATTCAAATCTCGAGATCAAGATGTCGAGATGCAAATCTCGAGATCAAGATGTCGAGATGCAAATCTCGAGATCAAGATGTCGAGATGCAAATCTCGAGATCAAGATGTCGAGATGCAAATCTCGAGATCTCAAATGTCGAGAAGAAGAAATCGAGTCCCTAAATGTCGAGATCCTGCAAAACGAAAACATTGATTTTTGAAAATCTGAAACCTGTTCTGAATAGCCCTGAAAGTTGAGATTCTCCTGTATCAGTTTCAAGCCAAAACCGTTTCTGCAGCAGTGAAAAATAAAGATTTCGAGATCTCAATGTAGAGATCTTCGAAATATAAAAATTGCAGAAAACGAAAAAAGAGGTATGCTGCTGGATCGGTTTTGAAAGGCGAATCCAACAGTATGATTTTTACGAAATTTCGTTCACAAACGAGATTACAGGAGCAAATCTCTACATATAGAAAAACTGAAGAAAAAACAGAGTAGTTCTTCGTTAAATCCAAAAATCGCAGACAAATCCAACCTGTTTCACGCCTCGGCTCTGATACCAAATGTTAGTCCCAGAATACTAACAATCATACAACCATAACAGTGATAAAGAAGCAGATAGAAAGAAATCGACAAGATTGAACGCGAATCTGATATACCGTATGAATCTGCCGCTACTCTCCCTGGAGAAGGAGAGCAGCGGCAACCCTAATCTCTCTCTATCTTTACGCCTCTGCGTCTCTGAGCCTTTCACGATTAGTAGGTTCCCGTACGTTAGCCTCCTTTTATAGGAGAAGTTGGCTAACTTACGGGTTACAAGGAAGCCCACGGGCTGATACACATTTGTGGCCCGTATTACACGATTAATTAATAACTACACAAATACAAAGATAACTAACTAGATTGAACACCATAAAATATTCCCAACATAGCCGATCCCAAATTCTTTTGGGATTAGGACTCGGATGTTGTTGTTGTTGTTGATCAAACTTTTATCAAATTTAAATTTTCTTGATCAGGTTTTGTAGCGGTTCTAAATATGTAAATTTTATTTACTAAAACCAATCTAAGTTTGAACAGGGATCGAGTTGTTTTATCGTCAGTCGATCATCGTAAACTGAAACGGGAACTTCTTTTTAAATTGATATCGTAACATTCGGATAGGGGTTAAACAGATATAAGGACCACAAACAACCTTCACCCCTCCAACCAGACTTAAAGTTAATCATCTTCAAAAAAGCAATATAACGCCTTGATCCTATAAGGCTAACCGTAACCTAGCCCGTCAATAAATCTAATTGCCTACCAGTCAATTCGGTTTTCCCTGCAACCCAGCACCGTCAATATATATTCAGTCTGCAGTTTTTTTTAATTAAATGGATAAATTCTTACTTTTTTATTACATCATTTATGTGATAATTTAATTTTACTAATAATTATAATTTCAAAGGTCAAACATTCCGATGCAAAAAAAAATAAAAATTGTGAATTAATTTTTTTGTAAGTATTAAAAATGCACACTTCAATTAAATTCAATAAAATTCAAAAAATTCCATTATATTATATATTGCTTTAATATTAATTTCCATTATTTTATATATTGCTATAATACTCTGTATTAGTTTTCATTTTTAATAGAGTTTAAGACACCAATATTACTAAAAATTAACTCATGGACAAAAAGTGACCTTTTAAAAAAAATCCAGAAATGTGACTAAAAAAGGCTGAACAGACTATTTTGCCCTTACTAAAGCCCAACAGACCTGCTATAGTAACCAATGCGTTACTGACTTACAGTGACCTAATTGACCAATGCGTTACCGACTTACAATGACCTAATTCACCAATGCGTTATAGTGACCTATGTCACAGTGAATATATTCCCAGTGACCGATGACACAGTGACTATATACCCAGTTACCCATGCCACAGTTACCAACACTTAGTGACCCAGCTTGAGTGACATCCTGACTACAGTGACATCTGGCCCCAGACCACCCCGATCTCAGTGACCAAAGTGCCGGTTACCAAGGCTCAATGATGACAATCGTCTCATTAATCACCCGAGCTCTAGTGACCACCCGATCACAGTGACATCACTACCCCGCCAGTGACCAATTGATGTCTACCATCTCCGAGCATTGCTGCCCCAGCCCTGCCCCTGACCCCGCCTTTGCCCCACCAGTCCACCCCAACCCCCTTCCCCACAAGTCAACCTCTTCCCAATCAGCTCACCCCAACCCCGACCATGTCACACTACACTAGCCAACATTACCTCGCTGCCGACACCAGCACCTAACTGGCAATGATAATGCTTTAATACAAGAAACAAAAGTAATAATGCTATTCTAGAGCCCGAGTATTGAAATGATAACCCTTACAATGATTTTAAACCTTTTATTTATACTAATGGAGAGCATGGGCTGCTCTATGCTGATTGGCTGTTGTTTCACCGACTTGGTCATCCATGTTTCCACTTGCTGATGTCACAATCTGGCATTAATTGCACCTGGCCACTTGCTGGTTGTACGTTGCTCGAATGGGATGTTGGACCATGCTGAAGGCGCTGCCAAATTGGCCCATGTATGATATATGGTCCGAATTCCGTTCGGTATACCTTCTTTCTGGGCCGGCCTTTACTGGGATCGAACCCCGTTCGGTATGAATTCTTCACTGGATCTACTCATCATAGGGTAGTGGACTCATTGTTTGGGTCGGGTATCCTGGGCCTGTTTGATCCGGGTATTGGGCCTCCGGGTCAATAACCCAACAACCTCCATCCATATAGCGTGTTTGCCCTTGTGTAAATCTAATAAATTCGTTAACTCCATTTTCGAACTCTTTTTTCAATCCTCTACCATTTTCCTTGTAGCGATCATACATCCAACTTCTAGTTTGTCTATACATTGTGCCTGGATATTTAAAAAATATCTTAATGATTTTTTTGACAGTATATCTTAACGAAATTAATTTATTAAATTTACAAATTAACGTCTCACATTGTATCAATATAATTAAGACAAATACTACTCATAACAACTCGTAATATGAATATGATCAAATTAATTTAAAAACAGAATGGTCGAAATTTACATACCTTAAGTACAACGACGATACCAAGTAATACGAGTATAGAGTAAGAAATCCAAATAGAAACCTCCGGATATCAAGTAATATTACTTCCAACTTCTATCTAGAAATTATCATACACAAATATTAAAGAGATCATTTTGAGAGATGTAGTATGTTTCACACACCATACATGTATTTGTAGAATTAGTAGGCACGGATTTTGGGACGGAAATACCCCAGCCGAAACGTACAAACGGCCTTCATTGTCTAGGATATTGGCACGGAAAAACATTAAGGCAGAACGTGGGATTGGCAAATTAACGATTATATTTTGGCACAGAATTTGGGTCCGATATCCGCCAGCCAAACGTAACGGCTACATTTTGGCACGGATATAAGGACGGAAAGGGGCGAGCTGAATTTGATGCGGCGTTGGCGCGGATGTAGGCACGGAAACTTTTGGCACGGAATAGATCTGCGCCAACCTAAAAAGAAAAATCGTCACCATTTGGGTCGGACATAGTTCCTTGCCAAACTGTCTCGGAAATTGCGAAGGATATGTCCACAAGCCAACGGATTTGAAGTTTTTTCGGTCTTGGCACGGAAGTAGGCTCGGAAATTCCGAGACAACCTAGGTGGCACGGATTTATCCGTGCCAGAGGCGTAAAAAACCGACATTTTTGGCTTTCTGGGCCAATATCCGAGCCAAAATTGTCTAGGATATATTCCGTGCCTAAATCCGTGGCTATTACGAGTTTTTTTTGGTAGTGAAACCATGTGGTGAAGCGTAGATCCAGAGCAGTTGATTTGAGTCCAAGAATCTGATAACTCCTGGGTTTTGATAATTTCGTCCGGTTATTTCTATTCCTTTTCTTATTTTTTTCGTATGCTTATATTTGGCTGATTCTTGTGTGTTAGATCTGTTATTATCGTTCCTTGCTTTGCAACCATCTGTGTATTCAAACTTTTCTGAGTTAGTGGATTCTTGGGACCGGGTTTCCCCTGTTGAAACCCCGCAGAGTAGGATTTATCCGAACTGCGTCAACATATCGTGTGTTCTTTTCTTTAATTTCTGTTTTGGTTAAACTTGATAATTGAATCCGGTATTTTGACTGTGACTATCGATATAGTCTATGAACACTATACAATACAGTTACTAAATTAAATCACCTTCAAGTACATATTAGAATATGAAAGGAACTGAATCACTCGTCAATTAATTAAAATGACAAATTCATATTGTGGTATTATTCATTAATGATTACACCTGTGCCAGGTGACGAATATCATAAGGGTGCGCATCAGATGGATTCTGTGCACTGTAAGATCTCCTTCCGATTACAATATTTGCTGCCTCACCGGGATGAAAAGCATCCCAAAATATATACTCATTTCTATTTAGGCATGGATTTTGCAAAGGCAAACATGTTATCTGGCCATTGTTTCTCCCCACGCCACAACAACCGGCATTCGTCACTCTAAATCCTGCAACATTATATTAACTCATAGTATATCAATGATAATATCAATTAAATCTAGTTATATTACCACATAACTTCTTGTCTACAGTCATTTCTATATCATGTGTTTCACTTATGGAGTACTACTCCTATATATTACTCTGAGGGGTATGTACAATTATTCTGCTATGGAAACATGTTATGCGTTGTCTAGTTTAAATGTGTGTCGTATAGCCTAGTAATGTCAAACTTGGCAGAAATTTAATCTTATTTAGACAATAAAAAACATGATATTCCTATTTTGAAATTTCAAAAGTTTTTTACTCCTATTTAGGGAATTTACTCATTATACAATTGTTTGGTAACATCTTATTTTGAAATGGAATAATAATAATACCATCAAGTGCAAACAATCATTGACTACCTAGAGATTAATTAATTTGAAAGATTGTTAGCAGAATATAATTAATGAAAGCAAGAAGAAAATAGTGTTGTAAGTCACGATTTTCGTATATAAAAATAAAGAAGAAGAATCTTAAACGATCGAGACGCAACCGGTTCACTTTTTTGGTATATTAGTTACTCCGTATTATTCAGGGGAACTTACCATAAGTTGAGGGGTTTTCGATTAAATCTTCAAAAATTCCGTAGGCATTTATGTAGATGAATTTTGCTTCCGGTGTATTGCTGTTGAAACTGTCCACAAGTGCCCTCAGTTTTTGGTTGAATATCCGATTTGCCACATTGATTCTTTCCACACACGTTTGACCGTCCGGGCTGTTTTGGGCCAGAGCGTTTGGACTGCACCCAATGGCGCCCACTCCAATCAGTACAAATTTCCGCGCTCCGTAGTCGTATAGAGTCTACGCTCCACATTATCATCATTCATCATGCATTTGAGTAAATAAATAAATTGTTTCCATAAATAAACACAATGACATTCTCACTTTGTGTATCAAAATAGGACTAAAGTCACTCACTTTGCACAGATAGAATTACAAAATAAACTATGTATTCATAGGTCTAATTATGTGTATCTTGGACAAATATACCCTTATAGCTATTGAAATCTTTTAATTCATAATAAAATAATAAAAAATAATAATAATTCATAAAAAATACTAAAAAATAAATAAAAATATTTTGATAATAATAATTTATATAATTATTTTTTTTCAAAAAAAAAAAAACTCAAAAAAATAAAACAAAATTCACCGCCGCCTCTACCGCCTCTGCGCTACCACCTCCAGTCACCAGAGAAAAAAATTCCAAGTTCATTATGAATGCCATATTTATGTCAGAAAACAATGAAAATGTTGACATTCTCAAAGAAAAATATGCCATGTTTTTGGCATTTTCAGAAAAAATAGCAATTTTTAAGAAAAATGACATTTTTTCACCGCCCGGAGATGGTTGTGCAGGGAGGTAGTATACGCGGTGGGAAAGGCATCCATATTTTTTAATTTTATGGAGTTTTACTATTTTTTTATTGATTTTTTAAAAAAAAAAATAAAAATAAAAAAACATCCTACAACATACGATAGTATATAGTACTCCCTCCGTCCCGGAATTATCTTCGTACTTTCCTTTTCGGTCCGTCCCAAATTTATCTTCTCTTTCATTTTTTAGCAAAGAATTTGTGGTTCACAATCATTCTTACACATTCTTACACATTTCTCTTTCCTCTGCACAACTCTCCACCATACATTTCTCACTATCTTAATCTGTATGCCATTTGTACTTCAGGAGATAAATATGGGACGGAGGGAGTACATTTTTTGAAATGGAAATAAATATGAATTTAATAAATGGTAGGCCGGGAAATAAAAAAAAAAAGGATTGGAAGAGTATGCAGTTACTTGAAGCTGTTGAGTGTATTGTTGAATGAGAAGGTCAGCATACTGGTCAGGAGTATACTGGCGGCTGGAGGAGTAGTAAATAGGCATGAAGTAGTTGTTGAGGTAGTCATTGCTGCCCACTCCAATGGAGTAAATGCACTGGCTCAGATAATTTGCAGCCGAGTCCTCATCTCCTAGTATTTGCACCACCTGCTCCACAGTGCTCTTGTAGTTCCTCACTTGCCCAGAAAAACTTGTCCTGTCACCCTGCATTTTATCATACACATCGATCGTACAAAACAATTACCTATAATTAAATTAAATATCGATAAAGCTAGCTAAAATTAAATATGGATATATGGAGTAATAATGCATTTCAAGTGATATATGATGATCAGTCAAATATATAAATGATATTGTAACGAGCTAGTGATCGATAATGCTGAGTTTTCGTATCTCAGTTAGTTATTGAATGAAGTAAATTGTTACCGTAAATACTCTTAAAGTGATACATTTAATAGTTTAATTACATGAAATTGCAGATGTAGCACAACAGAGAGAGTGACGACACGCACGATTATTAAGAAAATTAGAATCGTGTGATTAATATTAAAATGATAAAGTGTTATAATAAAATCAAAATGAAATACAATCCGTCAAATATAATCAAATATGGTATGAGATCAATTAAGTGGAATTGATGAAAAAAGTAAAATGAAGTAAAGATAGAGAGACGAATGGAGTACAAACTAACATACATATACACAAATTTCTTAGTAACTATATCTACTTGAACAAAATGGGAATTCGCCCCCTTACACGTGAACTTGGAATACATTTTTGTGCAGTGAATTATTTTAGCAAATTGATTAAATATATATTTTTTAAAATATTATTGAAAGAAATTATTATTTACAAAATGTGATCAAACTTACGTACTATGAGTACGTATAAAGTTATTGTCACCTAAGTGTGAAAACTAAAGATAAGTAACTACGACTAACTAAAATTCTTAATATTGTCAGTACTTTTAAAATTAATTAAACATTTCGTAAATAATTTTTATTTTACTTATGTAATTATTTCTTGATTAAATCATCATAACTGAGGTGGGGATTCTCTAATGTTGCAATGTTGACTAAATTAGTTAAAGAGATTTGGTGATTTCGTTTGTGAGATCGAAGTGTTGGGACATAAAAATATAAAGTTGGTAATTAAGCCAACCCTAAAATTTAAAGCTCAACCAAATTGTGATGATGTAATTAACGTGGGAATGAAAACATTTGGATGAATAGAATTAATAGAGTATAGTAGTGTTTTAATTTGGTTCATTATTTAATGATGAGATGGTAATAAGGAAATGGTACAATTAATGAATTAATTACCCTTGGATTTTTAAAAAGGAATTAGCCTTAATTAGTTATGGCACATAATACAATATAAATGTAAAGAATGTAAATGTATGTACCAGCTGCTGGCCAGTTTCATCTCTAATTCCAGCTGCTGCAGATGCATAATTGACTCCCTTAAGAATATTTTCACCCCTGGCGCTTGCGTATGGCGGAATGTAATCGTCGAATCCCAACAGCTCAGCTGCATATGTACGTATTTTTACATCATTCAGAATTGAACGTAACTACTGCATGTATGTATGTATGTAATTGATTAAATAAATATAACATACTCCCTCCGTCCCGCTAACAATGGGACAAAAGGGAGTGACACGCAAATTAATAAAAAGTGGTTTATGTGGTTGATATTGAATTGATAAAGTAAGAATAAAGGAAGAATGATTTAGAGCCACACAAATTTTACCAAAATTGGTATGAGACAATTTTAGTGGGACGGATCGATAAGGTAAAATGAGACAATCATAGCGGCACGGAGGTAGTACGTTTTATGTGATGGTGGGATCGGATAATTAATTAATTTTATAGATCTTAATTACACACACACATAATGCACGCACGCACCATGCAATATAATGACACAATTAAAATAAATAAATACATAGTATGTAATTATATATATATGAATAAATAATGAATGTGGGTATGTACGTACCAACGACATCAACGGTGGTTTTGCCATTGGAGAACCTTCCACTGGGGCCGCCGGGGAAATCAATGCCGTAAGGCATGTAATTAGCCTTCGCCAATGACCCAATATCGTTGTTGTTTCCGTTGTCCACCAATGAATCCCCAAATATGAAGTAACATGGAACTTGCGGCTCTCCTCCTGCGCCAATAATCCCATTCACCACCACCACAATCATCATCGCGGCCACCGTCATCCTCATCACCCCACCCATTCTAGCTTTTAACTGTGTGAGAAATGAAATGATCGATCGCTAGCTACATGCGGGCATATATATATATACATATAGATGATGATCGGAGATGCATAGCAGCTAGGCCATCCCGGCTCGCTCACATCCACATCTGCCCAACAAGCAGCTAGATATTACTAGTGGAGTATTTTATGTAGGTGTATGCAAATCTAAAACTAATTTAACGTGCTATGTTTCTACCTCATTTAAGACGACACACATTTTTCAAAGCACTCATTCATTATTTTTGTGACTTACCATCTACCGCTCCACTCCAGTACACACCCACATGCCATATATATATATATATATATATATATATATATATATATATATATATAGAATACGGATGAAATGAGAATGAGTGTTTATCGTAAGAAGAGAGAATGCATCTGGTGCATTCAACTTAAGATTTAATGACCGGAAAAGTGCAAAAAATATTTAAAAAGTGATGAAAGATGCGGTGGTATTTCCGTAATTAATCGAAATTTTTCTGTCATCGCAAAAAAGTGCATGAGATAAACGAAAAAGTGCATCAGAAATGAGGCAAATGTGAAAATTCTGACTTCTCATGTTAAGACATTTTCTTATTAGAACTCAACCCTATATATATATATATAGGAAAATTCTCAGGTCCACCACCTCCCGGTCCGAACGCCGTCCGAACACCGTCGTTTCGAGCGGTTTCCGGTGGAATTTTTTGATGAACTTTTTTGAGCATGTTCCTCATCAAGTCTAGTTTATCCATACCAAATTTCAGCTCAAAATTCGATCGGGAAGGCAGTCAAATAATTCTTTGAAGTGAACTGCATTTTTCTATGTATAATTTGGCGCAATTAACTTCAACGAATTATTTGACTGACTTCCCGATCGAATTTTGAGCTGAAATTTGGTATGGATAAACTAGACTTGATGAGGAACATGCTCAAAAAAAATCATCAAAACATTTTTCCGGGAAACGCTCCAAACGACGGTGTTCGGACGATGTTCGGACACAAAACTGCTGGACAGGAGAATGACTCTCTATATATATTATAAAGTGTCGTGGGCGACAAATTAAATGTTGAGACATGATGAATTGAACCTACAATTTCGTTTATGTATTTCCATAATACTTCTCCAAATGCAGTTATATCCATACTTATGTATTTCATTTATGCAGCTACAATTCCACACTAACGACCTTGGTCACACTAACCTATGTTGAAATTTCATTTAATTTCAGAATAAACGTAACTTCTCTATAAAGTAGAGAGAATTAACTGTATCGTTTTACTTTTATAATACTACTAGTAGTATCATACATACCTAGTACGTAGTATTACAATTACCAAAAACTAACCAATCGAAACGGGATGATATATATTTCAAAAATTGCCCCCATTACATGTCAAACTATTACGGAGAAATATTTTAGGTTACCTTATTACATCCTAAAAAGTGAACATGATTGAAATAGGAAAAGTGAACATGATTGAAATAGGATGTAGTTCAAAATTTTAATATAACACTTTAATATTTTATACTCCCTTCGTCTCTTATTAAGTATTTTTATATCCCATTTACTTTATCATTTTCCCTTTTAAGTAAAGAATATGTGGTTTCAGTTAATTCTCTCTCTTCTGCACAAACCTCAACCACACAGTTTTTACTTTATTAATCTCTGTGACGGTCAAAAATGGCAAAATTATTAGAGACGGAGAGAGTATTGTATTGTAGTAGGACTTCAACACCCTTCTCATGATCAAACACTTTGTTTCGATTGGGTCACCATTCAATTTGTTGTCATTTGACGTTACGGTCATTATTATTATAACTGCCCCGTCGACATTTTTCAAATGAGTCCCACATCATGATTATAGATCGGTTTCACTCTGATACAATGTTAAGATTTAGGATTTTATTTTAGGCAAAATTCATAAGAATAATCCCTACTTTTAGGAATTCTACAATAATAATCCTTACTGAGAGTGTCTATAAAAGTAATCCGAACTAGCAATAGTGTCCACAAGAATAAATTGATGTGAATTCAAATTAGTATCCGTTTAATACTATCAATCCCTACTCTCACTTTTCTCTTCACCGCTCTTCTTATCGAAGTGAATTAAAACTAATACACGTCTAATCTTAATGTCATTTCCGCCATATGTGGTTTTTTCTAGGATAGAAGATAGAAGTGTTACCCGAAAACAAGAGTGGTGAAGGGGAACGTAGAGGTAAGATTTGGGAGAATTAAATGGGAAATAATTTTAATTTACCTCAATTTATTCTTGTGGACATTATTGCTAGTTCGGATTATTTTTATGAATACTCTCAGTAGGGATTATTATTGTAGAATCCCTAAAAGTAGAGATTATTTTTGTGAATTTCGCATTTATTTTAAAAGTTCAATCTGATTGGATAAGTAGTGATGGAGTATTAACTCCTAGAGAGAAGTGAGAGCTAGAGAAAGAAGTGCAATAAATCTTTGCAATAAATGATTTGTGAACCCCCTACAACTACTCCCAAGGAGAGTATTTATAGAGGAAATTAGGGATGGGCTTCCAAGTCTTGGGCTTGGGAGGCCTGTTTACAATTGGGCCACTATTGGGCTGAGTACAAAATATGTAGAAGTAATTAAGTGTGAAGTCCGGTTCAGGGAGCTCTCTGTGGCCGACGAGGGTCTGGCCGACGGAGCCATGGCCGACAGAGACCTAGCCGACGGGGACACCCGGTTCTCCTGGCTTCTGGACCATGTTCTGAGTTGATATCTTTCTAGCCGATGGAGGGCCAGCTGGCCGACGGAGGCCCCACTGGGTGACAGCTGTGCCTCTTATTCTTCTGAGTATGTGGGTCCTGGGGTCTAGACACATATACTCCATCAGGAGTCCCCCACTCTCTGAGCTGAGATGTAGACGAAGTGGGGGAGAGTAGATTTCATAGTCTTCATGTCTTCTGGCTGTTGTGGCCATTTCCTGTTTTGGTTCTTCGTGTTGGCCATTGTATGTCCTTCACTGTGGACGAAGAAGACTGATGTTCCTCTGATGAGGTAAGTTTGTTTGTTTGAGGGCGATGAGTGTCCTGGCTCAGTTATTGGTGGTTGCTTTTTGTGTTTTGGCCGAGGAGGCCTCATGATTGCTTTCGTACTTCAGGCCGAAGTGATGATGTTTGTAGTTTGGTGTCCATCTTGGAGGACGATAGCGGCACTGATCCAGAAGGAGTGCGTAGCTTGATCTTATGGACGATGATGACATGAGGACGATGTGTTCCTGTTTTCTTATCTTGGCCGAGAGTGGAGTACGTGATCTCAAAGCCGTTGAGTGGCACGCGTCAAGAGATGACACACGTCGCATTTTGGGAGGAGTTACACTTCCTTGTTTGGTGACTTTGTTGTGGCCGAGAGTGCGCCACAAGGTCCTGGACGTTATGATTTTGTAGTTGTGGACTTGTGTTATTTTTTGGATTTTTAGTTTTGTCCTTGCTTGCATTTTGGAGGCCGGTGTAGTCCCCCAGTCCCCCACTGCTTCAGGCCGAAGAGTGAGTGTGGGGTGAAGGAGTAAGGTGTAACCCTAGGCCGAAGCGGGATCCTTGTATTCCCCTGAATCTAACCCCTTGGCGATTCTTGACCAAGGTAATCATGTGGGAGAACCCTTGGACGCAGGTCGCTTTCAAGAAGTTATCATTAGGGTTTCATACAAGGCCGATGGTTGCTGGATTTTTTGCTTTGCTGTTGTGGTCGTTGAAGGGGCCCTGTTGTTGGTAGGGGTGGGCAAAAATACTGTAAAATCGGTATACCGCACTTACCGTACCGAAAAATACCGAAAAATACCGGAATATTGGTGTACCGTCATTTTCGGTACGGTATTATACCGTACCGATTTCTTTCGGTATGGTAACGGTAAATGTTTTCAAATACCGCGGTATACCGGTATAATACTGTACCGATCCCTGCCCAACAATTATTACTTTTAATTCTAGAGTATTGTAAAACTCCATTACAATTATGAAGCCCAAAATCAATACTTACATTGGTTACAAATCTCCAATGACTAATTAGTAATGTACTAATGTCTAAAACAAGTTAATCTTGTTCCAAGAACTTGCGAGTTGCGATGACTGAGTGGCTGAGTAGCTGATGAGTGGAGAGATGTACACTTATGTGACAAGTGTATCTACATAGGGATTCCACGAGTCGAGGCACACAACTTTGTCCGAAAGTCTTATTCATTTTTTTAAAAAAAATATAAAAATGACTAAATGCACAATATCATACTACCGCCATCCCAAAATGATTAGCCAAATCCAAAACTTTGATGATTAATATATATTTATTGGAAATTATTTATAATATAAAAATTATATGAAATTGTTCTTTATTAAAAGTACTTTCATAAAAGTATAAAATTTATAACTTTCATAATATTATACTAATCAAAACCATGGTTCAAATTTTTAGATTTGGCTAAATATTTTGGGACAGAGGTAGTATTAGGAATAAATAATTTTATATCCATGTTGTTTGAATAATTTTATTTATTATTGTTAGATATCACTATTGATTTAATTATATCTATATCGTTCAAGTTATTTTAGGAGAATGTGTTGTTTTTTAATGCGTGACATGTTGAACTGCTTAAATATACTAATAATAATTATTGTTCAATATTGAGTATGACATCAATAGATTATTGATTATATTTGTAAAATTTTAATAATGAAATAAATATGTCACTAGTAACACCGATTTAGCATATTTCGTTAGTCTATGATAATTTGTTGTATTGGGAGACATGCATGGTAATTTACCGATACCGTACCGTTAACGAACCGAAACTTCGGTGTACCGAAATGCAGTATACCGAAACTTCGGTAAGGTAACGGTATATAAATTTTGCATACCGAAAGTTTTGGTACGGTAAAGGTATGAGAGAAAATATTCGGTATACCGTACCGAACCACCCCTAGTTGTTGGTAGTGTGTTAAGCCGATATGGGCACACTTTGTGGTGTGACCAACCGTTGAAATGATTATTGGCTGCTAGGGCCGATGTAGTCGTGCCCTGTGGAGGCAGATATTTCTTCTTGGTGTGGCCGTTGAATGCCTTGGCCGTTATGGATGTGTGTGCTGGTACGTTGGAAGTGGACTGATACTACTGGAAGTGGGCCTGGCCCATCTTCTGAACCGGTGGCAGCTTATTGGGACTTGGGGGTGGTGGCCGTTCATGTGGCCAATGGGGGAGTGCCACGTGTAGTGACCGTTGGGGGGGAGGTCTATAAATAAACCCCCTCCTTCCGAAGGAACTCCCCATTGCATTC